TAATCTTTGTTCAAATTTTTGATGCAAGCTGTGGTCAGATTTTTAATGAATATTTCTTGAAAACTTGCAATTCAAGTTCAATTTATTTTTTTTTTTAATTCTTTGAGAATACAAATACAGAAAAATAAAGAAGGCTTGATCGAATTTGACCAGGTAAATGCCAAGTAATCTTTGTTCAAATTTTTGATGAAAGCTGTGGTCAGATTTTTTTTTTTTACTTTTAATGAATATTTCTTGAAAACTTGCTATTCAAGTTCGATTAAATTTTTTTTTTTTTAATTCTTTGAGAATACAAATACAGAAAAATAAAGAAGGCTTGATCAAATTTGACCAGGTAAATGCCAAGCAATCTTCGTTCAAATTTTTGATGAAAGCTGCAGTCAGATTTTTTTTTACTTTTAATGAATATTTCTTGAAAACTTGCTATTCAAGTTCGATTAAATTTTTTTTTTTAATTGTGAAAACCCATAGAATCAATATGAAAAATTTTTCATCAAAATTGAATTGCTGTTTGTCGAGAAATCTTTGTTTTAAGTTCGAAGAAGGTTTTCTCTCACATGATAATCGTCTGACTTGTGTAACATATCCTGCAAGAATTTATATATAACCTTTTTTAGTAATTTTTATGTTCTTTAAACCTTTTATAATTATATGCACGAAGATTGTTATTATTACAATAAATAATAAAAATTCATGTACCAATTATTATTATTTAAAAAAAATTTTACATGCGTACGTATACATAAAAATTTAAATTTTTATTTTATAATAAAAAAAAAATATAAAATACAAAATTTTATATACTTCTTTCTTTTATTTGCTAAATTATACCAATTTTCTAACTATTATCACAATAGGTTCATGTAATTTTATAGAACATTGTTTGCACATCATAGTCTTTCCAAGTTTTTGGCAGTGTTCTTCGATTCTTTAATTTTTCACATTTTTCCAACATCTTTTTCATCCCATTCATTGCATTTTCGGCTGTATGCAAAAATCTTATGTTTTTGTACTGCTCTTGACTCTTCAGCAAATCAATCCACTTCTGAATTTTTTTTGTGATATGATCATTAACTTCTTCCCACATTTCATTAGGTTCTTCAACCATTATAGGTTCAATATTATCTTCATATTCTTCATATTCTTGAATTGTTTCTATAAGCTCCTCTTCGATTTTGTCACTGGACAATTCATCAAGTTCTTCTATTTGTTCATTGACCTCATCATCTGTTTCATCTTTATTCACTGCCTCTAAACCTTGTGTTAATGAGATTAGATCTTTATGTCTCCAGAAGGGTGAAGAGCGATAACGTTGAACTTCAACAAAAAAATTTGGGCTTAATGGACGAACTGACTGCACCAGATGCTTGCAAAGAAAGAAACAATTATTCAAATAACCAGGACATGAGCAAGTCCACGTTTTTGTATTAGTTATATAAGAACTACTACCACCTAATGCTTTTTTAGAACATGTTTTCTATGTGCGCTTAAAGGCTGGACGCCATGATGACATAATTTTTTTAGAACCTGATTCTTGCTGCTGCATCTTAATAACATGCATGGAAGAAGACGTTCGACAAGAACCCATACTAATAAATCAAGACGTAGTTTATTAAATTTATAAAGGTAATTATGTTTGATTAGTCTCCATTTAACTCTGTGATCATTGTTGTTCTTAATACTGAAATTTCTTTTTTTGCGCTTTGCACCCAATTAGACCATTTTAATAAACTATACCATTCTACCCATAGGTATGACCATGTCCATTTAAGATCGTTGTTCTTGCAGTATATGTACATTTCTTTTACAGCTGCTTTACGAATTTGATTTGGAGAGCAGTATTGGTTATCAGAAGTAGGAATAAATGGATGTTGATTAAAATGCTTGGCTATGAGATTGAGTATATGATTATAATGCTCAGGAGGGCAAAAAATAAATCCTAATTTTTTGTTTTGTGATTGAGTATTTAATTGAATTGACTGATTTATTTCAATATCATTATCAATAATAGGACAAAAATCGGGATCAATAAACGAAAATTCCGAATTTGCCGAATTTGAGGAATACTTAGTTAACTTTGGCTTCTTGCTTAGTGCTAATTGTCTCTTTATTGCCCTTTTTAAGTGCCAAAAGCAAAGCTGAATATAAGCATCTAGCCATATCGTTTTCGCTGCTGAAATTTGTGCAGAATTTTTATCTGTCATTATAAAAACCAGGCTGATTCCTCTATGATACAATCTATTAAAAAATTGAGCAATTATATTTGTGTAAACTCCATCATTAATTGCAGTCGTCGTGGTTAGCAGCATATAAGCTAATGGAAACCCCGTTCTATCAACCTCGGCAAGTACAGAATACAACTCAAGATTTATTTTATTAGTGTTATCTAATTATGAAAAATAAGTATATATTAATTTTAATTATTCTTATTATTATTTGAATTTTATTTTCTAAATACGTACAAGTTGCATCAATACCGATTTCAGTTGCATTTACCTCTATATGATTAATTATCTCTCTAACGCCAAAAATAACTTCGCTTTTGATAATATATAACAATATTTCAATATCATTATATAAGTTGAGAATTTCAATAGCTGATTTAACTTGATTTTCATTTTTTTTCCAAATATGCTAACTAAAATTTATCCACCAATGATATATCTGCTTCTCCGTAATATTCGCATTTTCTATGCTGATATTCTCCCATAAAACCTGAGGTGGCTGCTGAAGATTATTTCGAATATATTCTTTTGTTTCATTTGTAATACGTACATCAACATATTCGGCATAGTATTCATGAGTTAATTCAACGGTAACTTACTTTTTTTCACTATCTATAGTAAGTGTTAACCAACCCCTACAGTGAAACCATTGTATTGGTATATGATCCCTGTGCTTCGCAGAATCTTCATGCTTTTTTGGTTTCTTTTGTCTATCAAGCAATTGGGCGCAATAGTATCTAAATTTTGTAATATGATCGATTTTAATGGAACCCAATCTTTGTAACTTTAAAAAGAAAAAGAAAAAGAGTTAGTTTTTTTTTTTTTTTTTTATATTTTTTTACTTAATATACTTAATATTCTTACTTGAATTTAAAATTTATAGTTGTGAGAATACTATCTGTAATGTGTGATGCAATCTCTTTTGGGTCAATTAGAGTTACATTGCCACTGAGATCAATAACTTGCTTGAAATTTTCTATATTTTGCTTTTTCATTGTTTCTAGAATTGAAACGAATTCATCTATTGTAATGCGGATAGTACATGCATCCACAAGAGTCCCATATTGGCACGTTTTTGTGCATTTTGTTGTCTCTACATATTGAACAGGTTTTTCCATTTTGAAAGAGCTCGATTGGGCGATCTTGGTTGCATTCACTGCAACGTTTCTTTTCAGCATTTAAGACAGTGGATTGCGATTCCATAATTTCGAAGTAAAATATTATGTTAGGAGACTTAATGGTAAAAAATTTTAGAGTTGTTTAGTATTAAAAGTAAGAAAACTATTTAATTGGTACAAAATATACTTTGCACTTCAGGCAGGTCAAAGTTATCGCTTATATATATTTCGTTCATCATATAAATAATTCATTTAAAGCAATTGACTCAACTATTCGGCCGAATTGATAATTTTTTTCTTTTCACCCAATGCATGTAACATATCAGTTCGGCCGAGTGATCTTTCTGAACGTCTGAAACTAGCTGTAAATGGTAAACACGCATCTTATAAATAAAAGTATTTGCTATTTCATATGCATGCATTATAATCATGCAATTACATAATACCATATATCGAAGATTACTGGTACAAAGCTTTCGTTTGATGACTGAAGTTAAAATAATAATTAGTATTTTTCAATATGTAGCTAATTGAAGTATTAAAATGTAAATTGTCAATAAATTCGATCTGAATACTGTTATAGATTCTTTCTAATTATGCCGCAATGATTAATTAGTGCATGAATGCACAGTTTAACTCTGATGGTTAATGTAAAGCGAATCAATAATAAAAAGTTGGGGTATTATAATTATAAAATAATTCAAGTACAATCTGTATTAAAATACATTTTTTCTTTTATTAAAGTTTCTGTTAAAATATTCTATACTTTAATTCTCTATTGGTGCATTTTCTTGAATTGATGTAAAATCTTCTGATTCAAAAATCTTTTCTGGGTACTTTACAATAATATTATTTATTATTTTAAGCTTTTAGAAAAGTGTAATTAAAACTATGAGCATTCGTTTCAATCAAATAAGCTTCAAGACGCTTTGCCAGTTCAAATTTTTGCAGGATACGTTATACAAATCAGACGATTATCATGTGAGAGAAAACCTCCTTCGAACTTAAAACAAAGATTTCTCGACAAACAGCAATTCGATTTTGGTGAAAAATTTTTCATTTTGATTCTATGAGTTCTCACAATCAAAAAAAAAAAAATTTAATTGAACTTGAATAGCAAGTTTTCAAGAAATATTCATTAAAAGTAAAAAAAAAAAAATCTGACCACAGCATCCATCAAAAATTTGAATGAAGATTACTTGATATTTATCCGGTCAAATTTGATCAAACCTTCTTTATTTTTCTGTATTTGTATTCTCAAAGAATTAAAAAAAAAATAAATCGAACTTGAATTGCAAGTTTTCAAGAAATATTCATTAAAATCTGTCTGCAGCTTCTATCAAAAATTTGAACAAAGATTGCTTGGCATTTATCTGGTCAAATTCGATCAAGCCTTCTTTATTTTTCTGTATTTGTATTCTTGAAGAATTAAAAAAAAAAAAATTAATCGAACTTGAATAGCAAGTTTTCAAGAAATATTCATTAAAAGTAAAAAAAAATCTGACTGCAGCTTCTATCAAAAATTTGAACAAAGATTACTTGGCATTTACCTGGTCAAATTCGATTAAACCTTTTTTATTTGTCTGTATTTGTATTCTCAAAGAATTAAAAAAAAATAAATCGAACTTGAATTGCAAGTTTTCAAGAAATATTCATTAAAATCTGACCGCAGCTTTCATCAAAAATTTGAACGAAGATTGCTTGGCATTTACCTGGTCAAATTCAATCAAGCCTTCTTTATTTTTCTGTATTTGTATTCTCAAAGAATTAAAAAAAAAATAAATCGAACTTGAATAGCAAGTTTTCAAAAAATATTCATTAAAAGTAAAAAAAAATTTGACCACAGCTTTCATCAAAAATTTGAACGAAGATTG